CGTGTAGTGACATGCATGATGAATAATATCATACAAATATCCCATCGAAGGTCTATCATCACCATCAACCATTCATAAAACTTGAACTAAAACTTCACTTATTTGCACAATTATTGTACATTCTTCCTAAAACAAATAGTCTTGTACACTCTTAATAAACTTTTTTCCTTTGCTATCTTTAGCATAAATAGATGAGACCCATTCCTTAGATGTCACCACAGCTCTCAAGTCATCTTTATGAGTTAAAATGCTTTGCAATGCAATGAAATTGATAGTAAAATGAGTACGAGCTGGACAAAGTATTTTTTTCCTCTAGCGAACTTCATTGTCAAATACAATGGATAGCAAAGATTATAAATGTACCTTTTGATACCAGAAGAATGCTTAATAACACAATAAACTAACTTCAATTTACCAATATCTCGGAGTATGATGTTGATGCAATGAGCAGAACAAGGAGACCAAAATATTAAAGAAAATTCTTCCATCAATGATTTGCTAGTAACAACATGATTTGCAGCATTATGAGTTACCATATGCATAATGTTTTCTACCCTAACATACAAAACAACTTCTCTAAACAACTGATACAACAATCTAACAGTCTTTGAGATATCTGATACATCCACAGTTTTCTAAAAAATTGTTCCTTTAGGACAATATACTAAGAAGTTAATTAAAGTCCTTCTCTTCTGATCTGTCTATCTATCAGCCATTAATGTGCAACCAATCTTCTTTTAAATCTCTTAATAAGTCTCAACATAAATCTTGACTTCATCAATCGCTTTTGTCAAGTAATAACCACGAATAGCATGCAAGTTTGGTCCTTTATAACCAGGATTCATGGCTGCTACAACAGAGTTAACAACATTAAATGGTTCACATGCATCAATCATCCACTTCGCTAAAGAAAAATCACATCGTTCAACTGCTTCCTTTCTTTGCTAACAATTCTAAAGAGACTTCTAAGCACCAAGAGTTGTTCTCGGCATGAAATATATCCTTAATGTTGCAGATTGCTTTTATTTTCCATAACTTGTAATCGATTGTTTTACAGTGCTGATGCTTTGTATCTTTTTCTTTTTTGTAACCTTCGGTGGTAACATGTTTTTTAGTACTGACATCAGCATCACCATCATCTTCTAAGTGCCTCATCATCATCTCTTCATGCTTCGTTTATTGTAAATTAAATGGATTGAAATCTACTTGCATTTCTCTAACTTTTTTTTTTGTTTCTGCATTTTCTTTAAGATTTAAAAGCATTTGATGTCGAACACAAGGAGGATATTTGCGACATTGTTCAACTTATCCTTTAGCTCCAACTAAATATTGCTTAAATCGATTAATGCCACCACCTGCAAATACTTTAACATAATATAAACAAACTAATTTTTTTTTTTACATCCAACACTAAGTTCAAGAGCCTCTCTATAATGATCCCATGCCAAATCTATTATTCCTCTGCTACCACTTGACATGGAAATTAAAGGTTGAGATGATTGAGTTGTTGAAGGATCACTGTTTAGAGTACTACCATCATGTGAAGACATTTTAAAACCTGATATAATTTATAAGAGGAAATATAATCTTAAACCAATTCACTTTGCAATCCATTCATTAGGTTAACAATAACAACCTCATTGTTAATTATGCATAACAGAAAAAGACTTATCAGTTGATGCTCTAGAAAATTAACAATGATAGCCTCATGGTTTCTTAACATAATACATTAATTTTTGGAAACTGTGGAAACTCACCAATTATTAAATCCTCATTCTTATCAATATTTGATTTCTCAACACAATACATTAAATCATACGCAAATAAACCATGAAAATTGTTTAATACATAAATATTTGGTTGTATTCTCATCAAATGCCTGAAACTGCTGAATGCACTTGACATCAACACAATATAGTATGGGTGCACAGTTTATTTGCAGAATAACGGCTGAATGAACTTGATAATGGTATTGGGAAAAGAATCATGGTAATAAGCATCACATCATACGCAAATAACGACATTCTAAAGTTTATCATAGTAATAAACAATGACAGCACCATCATCGATTAAAATTTAAAAATACAAACATAATTGATTTTTATAGAAATTGAAATTGGGCTGCAGAAAAAAAAGAATAGAGAAACATAGTTGAGGTTGAGTTGATTGGATTGCGAATGAATCAAAGAACAACAAATCGATGCTAGTGATTGAAATTGATGCCAACGATCGGGCTGTGAATGAATTGGGACCAGCAATTCAAAAAATAGCTAAGAATAAAGAAAAGAGAGAGTGAAGGAAGGAGATTCAAACCTTTTTCGCAGAGAAACAACAGTGATCAAGAATCAAGACGTCTTCTGCTCCTCGGCTTTTGTTTCATTAATTCAAACTGATTTGGTCTTTTGTTAATTAGGTTTTCATCTGTCTCCAATTCTGCTTCGTTCTTGTTCAGCGTTTTGATATTTTAAAAGCCCAAAACGACATTATTTAATCTCTACTAATATATATATAAAAAAGAAAGACTAGGTGGATAGGGTCCCGAGACGACCAGCTGGATTGACCGGATTTCACCGAGCTAACTTCCAAGCGAGTTTTTATCTTTACCCGTATTGGTCATAGGCTCAGGCCGGCCAGGTCCCAGGCCGACCTGCGAGGCCGGCCCTGATTTTAAAATTGCGGTCTATATACATGTGTGTGTACTGTTGGCTCAAGTTAAGTTTGTTTTTGCTTATCTTAATGGCATACGTACTTGTTGGAGGAATTTTTTTTATTTAGTTAGCCACGTTTACAAGTTCTTTCATCTTTCACGAGCGAGTATGATTGCTTCGGAAATTGGAAAAACTTCAAGTGGATTGATTCTGGGCTGTTATCGGAAAACGCCACTGGGTGACAGAGCACATATATGAATTTTTGGTCTTCAATTCGTTTTCAACGGTTTAGAGGTTGGAAAATTAGAGATTCATGGGTTTAGGTTAAAGGAAAAAGGGTGTTCATGTTCTGTAAATGGAATTGACGTTTGGTTAACATACAAATATAGAAGAGATAGAGATGAAGACATAAAATAAATCTCTAGCGATACTTGTTGTCTCTGTTCTCCCGATATTAACCAAATGCTAACTAGGGTTCATAGGAAATCTCACAGAAGATTGATAGCGTCACAGAGTCATTGAAAATTCTTTGCATATCGACCTCCCCGTAACCATACTCTGTTCCTATTTTGAGTAAGAGAAACCTAAACAAGAAACTTATATACTGAAGAACTACTAAAATAGAAACCTAGACATATAAATTCTCAGCAAATTCAGAGTTTACAGAAAAATCCTTGCAAATCTTCAAATTACAAGATATCCTTCCATTGTGGGGTAGAACTAAAACACATGAATAGTGATGTTTTTGTTGCCTACATCACTGGGTGCTACCAAAGCTATTTCATGTGAAATCAATAAAATGACATTGAAATGTCCTCCCTCCGATGATCGCTGGGTTCCTGCTTCTCCAATCTTTGTCTGGTCCTTCTTTTGTCAATTGTTTCTATCATTTCTATTGTTTCTAATGGCCTACTGTTTTAGCAAATTTTCATACATCAGACTATGCGTGGGAAAAGTATGGAGGAATTTCGAGTATATATATAATAACTTCAATACTTATCTTCAACATATAGGATAGAATCAGCTAGATAAATTGTTTTGACCTACAAGCTATTACAACGCATATTATTCATTGTTAAACATGAATGGAAGCCCCACGATCAGCAACACCCTGTCAATCAGACAAGATGTAAAGAAACTAATGAAAGACAGATATAGTAAGAGAACTTGAGTAGCAAGGAAATTGTTTCCTTTTCCCCTTACCCATTTGAAAGTATTAATGTCAGATGTTTGGTGTCGGCAGCAACTCTCTGCCCATTCCCTTCTACACTGGCTGCAATCTGTCCGATATGCCTCAGACCAGGCTTTTCAATTGCTTTCTTGATGACTTCATAGCCTCCTTTATTTCTCATAGATTTAGTGCTGAAAATGTGAAGAATTTTTCGAGTGCTATAAGACAAATATATCAACTGTGGAATAAAAAGGCAGACAAATTAAGATTCAATCAACGATGCAAAATTGTACCTGTAATTTGTGTGTGAACCAATCGATGAGAATAGCACTGAAAACATGCACAGTTGTAGCATTCGAATTGAATGGTAAAAGGGTAAATTGAAATAAAAACTGACCTGAAAAGGCTTATGATCAAATGGAAGCACAACTCCTGCAACATCAATAATCCTCTGTTAAGATAAATATAGACATCTGAGAAAACAATAGAAACTGAAATAGCTGTACTATCTTCTATAATAAAGTAGAGCTACCTCTAAGATGTGCCCAGCAGCCCATAATTCATCTCCAGAAGAGATACAGACTAAAAGTCCAACCTGAAATTCTCATTACATGAAAGTGAAAATGATTTAATGTTGTTAAATAGAATAGGATCAGAATGGTTCTAAACTAGAATTGTAAGATCAAAATGGTATAAAGGAAATTCTAGTTCTTTTATTTTACCTGGCCTGGCATCACTTCTCCGTTGATATCACTAAAGTTGATGCCTGCAAGCAGGCATGCCTTGTAATGTGCATCAACAATGTCGGGGCCAAATGCTTTCTCAACACCTCCACCACAATGGTATTGTCCCTGAGGACCAGGATAATCACCAAAAGGCCATTAAACATCGTTCTGCATCAAGGTGTATTCTTGCTCAAGGCCATGCCTGTTTTTTTCTTAATCAGGTTGCTCATTATTCACAATTGGAAAATCACTTTGCAGTTATCTTATAAGGAAAAAAAAAAGAATAAAGAAAATAAGGGTGGGTTGGGATTAAAAAAATACCATAGCCCCTCTCAGCAACAACATCAGGATGGCTGAATAATTTAGCAGAATTACATCTCATTTTTGTCAAAACAGGCTCATCAGCAGTAGTTTAAGCTTCACACATGACTAATCCAATCAACAACAATAACCGAGAGAATGACTTAAAGCTACAATGACCATGTCTAGTGGAAAGATATAAGATGTTCTCCAACATTGTATCTACCGTGCCCAGAACAAACGTAACAAGTTAACACAATATTATAAAGACAAAATTTGAATGGAGAAAATGAATAAGAATCTCAAGATATAGAACAACATAACACCTGACTGGAGCTCTGAGGCAGCTGATGGAGAAGATGACTTATTGTCAGCAACACACCAGAAGATCCCTCAAGGGACGAATTCAATGCAGAAGTAGGAAGTATCCATGATACACTGAAGAAAAAGTCGTATGGTTAGAGGGCAAAATTCATACAATCTACTGACAATTTCATTTAATTGTAGCATGTATAACACACTATAAACTTTAATTATGTCATGTCATCAAATGCGAGAATAACGTAACAAGGAATTCATTAATTTAACGGTAACCAGAGGTCTAAGAAGCCATTCATTCATGCAATTTATATGGTTAGAAAACGAAAACAAAGCAAGGTAAAAAGAAAATATATGGGGTGAGAAGCTTACGTTTGACTCCGAAGTGCCGAATGAAGTCGTTATCCTTGAACAATCCAAGTATCATTGGATTTCTTTGAAATTGATTTCAATGGAAGGGATGTGAGCTATCTTTGGCCAATCCTCTCCTCTCTTTTCCGCACACCTCTTCTCCAAATATGGACACTCATCAATTATCAACTTGCTGAGGTTGTTGAGACTCTGCACCCCATCTGGAAAAGACACCAAATTAGGGCAACCCCGAATATTCAAGCTCGAAAGGGACGTGAGATATCCAATCTGATCTGGCAAAGAAGTTAATCCCGTGCAATACTGTATGCTTAGAGAGCGGAGAGAAGTGATATGTTGGATACTCTCTGGCAACGAGTTTAGCTCATGACAACCAAAAAGAGACAAATCCTCAAGTGCTGTCAGATGTCGCACTCCCTCAGATAGAGAAGCAAATTGATCACAAAAATGAATCGATAAGTGACGAAGAGAAGATAAGCTGCACAGCCCATTCATTGGCAGAGAATTTAATCTTTTACAACTCCATATCTCTAAAATCTCCAAAGAAGTGAGGTTCTGAAGACCTTCCTCTGGTAAGCTTTCAAGTTCGTTACAACCCTGAATTGTCAAGCTTTTAAGAGCAGAAAGGGACGTAATGGAAGTGAAATTCCTAAACGACGTCAATGAAGCGTTGCCTCCCCTGATGATTAATGTTTTGACGGAGGGTATAATTGGTATTTCATCCAACAGAGGGCAAGAAGAGATCTCCAATTCTCGAAGGCGAGGGAAACTACACGCATCCCATTGCTCTAATCTCTTCATTGAATAAATAACCAGTCTCTCCAAAGATGGGAACGGATTTTGAGCATCTCCATACACATGGCTGTCAATACACTTCACTCCGTCCATTCTATATAATTGAAGATACTTGAGGAACTGTAGTTTCCCCAATCGTGGAAGTTGTTCACAGTTGTAACAGTCTCTTAGCTCCATCTCCACTAGATTTGGTAGCATCAAGTTCATCATCCAATTTGGAAATCTTGAGCCTCCATATCCTTCTATACTCAACTTCTTCAGATTTGAATGAGGTTGAAGCCTATCAAGGACCTCCGAATGCACATTATTTGGTATTGATTGCCCCGAAGGCGAATTGTAATTTACTTCCAAATTCCATGATAAAGTCACTGATAGAAGAGCTGTCTTCAAATTCAAATTCGCACTTCTGGCATCTTTTGAATTCTTAACATTATCAAGATCTGTGATGCTCAATTCACCAGCAAGATTATTCAGCCTTCCTAGCTCCCCCATGCCACGACCATACTCCTTACCCACAACGAAGATGCCAAGTTTTCGCAGGCAAGTCAACTCTCCCATTCCACAAGGCATAAATCGAAGTGAATAACAACCTCTGATGTCAATATAGACGAGACTTTTCATGTGCTTCGTATCTTCTGGTAATTGGACTAGTTGTCTGCAACCTCTCAGATTTAGTGTCTGAAGGTTTTGGAGGGAGGTGGTTGATTCAGGCAATTTTTTGATGCCGGATCCGGAGACATCTAGAAACTTTAGATGTTTCAAATTACAAATTGATTGTGGTAATGTATTGAGATTGTAAATTCGTATATACAAAGCTCTTAGATACTTTTGTTGAGTGAAAAAAAGACCTAAATTATAACTTACAGGTTGTGAGTGAAAAATATTTGAAAGAATAATTGAGTGCAGAGATTTGAAATCCTTGTCTTCAGGAGCAAACCATGATGTGTTGTAAGCACCCACATGACGAACTGTTTTAGGAATTGACAACCTTGTATCGTCCTCGATCAAATAACATTCTCCATTCATAATGTACTGTGCAAGATCATGGATAAGATCATGCATTTTACATGTTATGTTGCCCTGCCCATCATCCTCCACTTCTTGAAAAAAGGACCTCCCAACTAATTCGTGGAAAATCTCTTCACCCCTGTCATGCAAATCTATTTTCCCATTGCTAGAAATGAAGCCATTTGCCATCCACAGAGATACCAACCGCTCCTTCTCCATGACGTAATCTTTGGGGAATATAGAGCAAAATGCAAAGCACTGCTTCACCGGTGGCATTAGATTCATGTAACTCAAACTCAAGGCAGGTAAAATCCGGCTTCCTTCATTCGGCAGATGCCAAATCTCACTCTCTTTTACAGGCAACCACTCACTCACAGTTTTCTTCGAGCGCATCAGGCTTCCAAGTGCTCTTATCGCCAAGGGAACCCCGCCACACTTGTTAACTATCGCTACTCCAATCTCTTTCAAGCGACCGCACTCTTCTGCACTTCTCATCCCGAATGCAAGCTGCTCAAATAAAAGCCAGGAATCCTCATCTGACAATGTTTCCATACGCTTAAAAGGAGTTGTGGCCATTTTATCAGCAGCAGTTCCCAAACGAGTAGTCACAATAACTGCACTTTCTTTAGCTCCACAACTCAATGCATCTTTCAATTTGCTCCAGTTATCATGGTCATCATTCCAAACATCATCCAATATGAGCAAAAACTTCTTACCACCTAACTTTTCTTGGAGGCGTCGTAGAAGAGTATCCAACTGTTGAATATCTGGACTAGTGCGTTCAATGGACTCAATGATGGCACTTGTCAATTTTTGAATGCTGAAATCAACAGATACACACACCCAAACCCGCAAATCAAAATGCTCTTCTATTCTTCCGTCGTTGTACACTAATTGAGCAAGCGTTGTTTTACCCAGCCCCCCCATTCCACATATAGCATAAACAGAGAAATCATCTGAACTGGTGAGCAGCATGTTGATCAGATCTTCTTTCTCCTTTCTCCTTCCATAAATTCCTGATTCATTCACAATTGACCCAGTCTGACGCCAAGCGAAACTACTTGCTTCTATCTCCACGGCCCCCTCTCTTAGGTGGAACTTTTGTCTCTCCATGGCAATGGCATCTAATTTTTCTCGAACACTCTTCAATTTATGCACCATTCTTCGTCGAAAAACAAGTGGATTATAATTGATAGAAAAGAAGGATCGTACCCGATTTTTGAGATCTCTTCGCTGCTGATGCGGCTGAGCTTCACTTGCAAAGTCACTTAGCAAATCATCAGCATCATAAGCTGCATCCTTGAGGTCTCGGAGCCACACCTTTATAGCCTCACTCGTCCACTGCTTCTCCTCAGCATCTTGAAGCACAGCTCGAATAGTTCTGATCGTGCGGTTGAGATTTTCACGCTCAGTCTCTAGGCTCCCAGCAAGTCCAAGCTCTCGAAGAGTCGAGGAATTCAAGTTCCCCATGATTGTAGTCGCGAGAGCAGAAAGAACTGCATCAGCCATTGCTTGTTTTGGAATGGAAAAGAAATGGATGCAAAGAAGAAGTAGAACAGGGGAAAGGAAAACGAAAAGCAGGGGAGGTGAGCACGGCCATGTTTTTTTACCGTGGAAATGAAACTATTTTAAATTTTTTTTTAATGTTTATTTATAATTATAATTTTTCACTAAAAAAAATACTTAATTTGATTTAAAAAATATTTTAAAAAACTAGCAAAAACCACTTTCTATAAATTATAAAAATTTAAAAATATTATATTATTTATTGATTATATTAAATTTAATTTTAAAATTTTTAATTATTATATATATTTTATTTTCAATATTTATTATTTAAATTTATTTTTAAAATTTTAATTTTTTATTAATTTTAGTTTTTATTTTTATAATTATTATTTTTTTATTAAAATTTTTTATTTAGCAAATTTGATTTTCATTCTTTTAATTATTACTTATTTTATTTGAAATAATTTAAGAAGTGTTAATTATTATTATTTTAATTTTTTATCTTTAATTTTTTATATGTAATTTCTATTATTTTAATTATTATTTATTTTTTTTAGATTAATATGAATGTCCGGACCAGTTTGTGCATACCACAACTAATTTCACGGGCTTTAAAGTTAATGATCATGTAAGTCTCCAGTGGCTATCATATGAGCAATCAAGGACTCGAACTTAAGATCATAGAAGAAATAAACTTCTTAATTTTAAGTTTTTATTGCTTGACTATTACCTGGATGATTGACACCTAGATAGTTGATTGATCATTGACTATATTGATCAGGTTAGTAAATGTCGTCTTCCCTGCACTTAATTCTTTTCCGTGGGCTGTACGCTATCTACGCTAGAGTTAATCCAACCCGATTCTTCCATGCTCCACACGGAACATGGCTGCTGGTTAGTAAACGTCGTCGTCGTGAATTGACTTGTTGGTTAGTAAACGTCGTCTTCCCTGTTCTCTATTCTTCTCCAATGGCTGGGCTATCTAACCAAGCCGCATGCTATCTAAGCTAGAGTAATGCTAAACACAGTAAGCTTGAGTTTGTAGTCATTTTGTAAAAATACCTTTAACTTATAATATATTAAAATAATAATATTTTTATTTTTATTTTTCATATATTAAAATAAGTTTCATAAATCCGATATATATTTAAATTTTTTTCCCCTCATCTTAGTGTACATTAAGATTAAGATTACCAGAGGTTATGAAAAAATAAAACCAGGTTTGGCCAACCCATCTTCTAACATGATCTGTCCAAATATATTATTGTGAATTGAAGCAGTTGATTTGTTGAAATATTTTTTGTTTATAAATTAAAATAATTATTTTTATTTTTTAATATTAGTATATTAAAATGATTTAAAATTTTTAAAAATAATATGAAAAATATAAAAAAATTATTTTTTTATATTTCTTGAAAAGCCAAAATATTTTAGATTAAAAAAAAGATAAATAGGTATCTAAGTTGATTTAGTATTGCAATATAATGTGTTTTTTAAAAATATTTTTTACTAAAATAATTTTATTAGATACAAGTGTCATTAGATTTCTTTATTGTTGATTCTAATGAAAGGGATGTGAACTATCTAAGCCACCATTGGTGGGAGACATCGAGAAAAAGCTAAGCACAACATATGAATGGTTGCTAGTGCCTTCACCTTAACAGATAGTTGAACACCAAGAAAATTTAAAAGAATAAAAAAAAACTATATTATTTTAATAAAAATAATTAAGATATATAGTTTCAAGAACATGTATGAAAACACGGTCACACAAATCAAATTTCTAAAAATTTTAATTTTTTTTTTAAAATTATATTTTTAAATTATTTTAATATGCTAATGTTAAAAATATTTTTTTTAAAAAAAAATATATTTTAAAATATTTATAAATAAAAAAATATTTTAAACTGCAAACCATTATTACAGTAACTAATTTTTTTATTTTTCCAGCTAAACTCCAAAACTGGCTTGGTACGGCTTCAAAGAGGAATGAAATAATACTAAATTGCATGCATAACTAAATGGCTTAGTTAAATTACATGACGCGCTTCTCTTCGAAATCAATTTTTTTTTTTTAATAACAATTATCTTTAAAATCTTAATTTTTCAAAATCATCGTTGTGATTATTGGGTGCCTTAAAATCGTTGAAGTTGAATGGATTCCAGACCCAAAACAGTTTAGGGCCCAATGGGCCCAGAGTATTTTAGATACTTGAAAATCAAGTCCATTCATACTGGGCCCAGAGTATTTGTAAATTCGGCTCATGGAAGTTAACAATAATTTGTCTTCTTGTAAAAAAAAGATTCCATTCATAGGCAATGAGTAGAGTCTCTACAATTCCGCGATGAATAATAAATTTATTTCTACCTAATTTCCCGCTGTTTCAGACAACAGGAATTCCTCCTATCAATTAAATAACAGTCTCTTAAACAAATAATAATTTTTTATACACATAACGTTCCCTTAAAAAAAAAACAATTTCCCACTATTCGAGGCAATAAAAATTCCTTCAGTCAATTATTAAAAATTTTTTACTATTCAAAGTAACATGAATTCTTAACATAGTTCTGAATGTAAAAAAAAAACATTTTTTGATAATTAGTAAATTGAGTAAAAATAATTTTTTTAAAAAAATATTTTAGCAACATTTTTTTATCGGTTTGATGTATTTAAATATTATTTCTAATATTAGAATTCTTAATATAGATGATACACTTTCATGGGAGAGAAAACTGTCCTTGGATTGATAAAAACACATCCCGAAATTATCTATTAAAAAAAGTCAATACGCATGAAAAAGAGAGCATAATTAAAAATGGGAGGTTTAATAAATTGAAACTCCTGAAGCAATTTCTACAACACGTGTTAATACTCCATTAAAATAAATAAATAAATAAAACAGTGCCAATTTTCGCAAAGCCGGTGATCCTATCAAGCACCATTTTTTTTTCTTTTCTCTGTTTTATTTTTTATTAATATGACATATCTTGATTAATTTTATAAATTTTAAAATTAATAATTATATAAATTTTAATTAATTTTAAATTTATAAAATTTAAACTAATAACTATATATTATTGGTGATTCCAGGTGTAATGGACTCTGTAAGGCAGTGGGTATCCACTCCTTTCCTCCAAATTCAATAAATATTTCAGACAGTTGTAGGCCAAATTAAAATATTGGAGATGTAAAAATAGATAATAAAGAATTATTATCTAATTTATGTATGAGGTTTCATTGATTATATTAAAGAAAAAACATATTAGCTTGAAATATTTTGTTTATAATAAATTTTATTGTGTCTATTATTCTTGCTATAATTATCTCAATTGCTATGTACATGATTTATAAAAGTTATTAATTTTAAGGAAATGATCTAGGACGGGTTACAAGATCTAATACTCACTTTAAAAATAAAAATATAAAACCTGAAAATAATAAATTAAATTTTAAGCTCATTTTTTAAATTATATTCAAAATAGTTTAAAAGTCATTATTTTTACTCAATAGACTTGGTGGAGTCATGTTAAGCTAGTCTAAATTTTATAATTACATTCTATTAAAAAAGTATGAAGGATCTAATAAAAAAAGATATAATTAAAAAAAATTTGTGGTAAAATTCTTTTTGAAGAACCAAATAAAAAATAGATGCAAATGAATTGAAAAAAAAACTTGAGAAGGCTTATTGTTCATATGGACAATATTTCCACCCCAAGATTTTTAATATATAATATAATGTTCTTCCCCCACACGTAATTTGAGCAGCATTAGTACGACACCTATCCAGAAATAATGAATAAAGAAACAATTCAAATATTGTAATATCTTGAAAATCACCCTTTCTTTATCATGAGTTATAAAAAGAATTGCGATGAGACGAGTCCCAAGTACCAGTCTGTCCCCCACGTCTCAAACTTAATTAGACAAGGCAAACACTAATTAATTATCTTCTTATTAATTTTATAAAGATTCTTGAAACTCTTTAAGTTGCCCTTTTTTCTTTTTTTTTTTAACCCCCCTATCGAATCTTTTGAGTTGTTAAATATGAATTACAATATCCTAAACTATAAGATTATATATATTCCTGTGTTTCTATGTGTTTAATTGTATTTAAGTGCTTAATCTTCATGTGTATAGATGCAATCAATCTTCATTAATCACAACAATTTAATGAAAACCCCACAGCTTTGATATGCAAGATTCCAAAACAGCCGAAGCCAATTGAATGATTTTATTGAATTTTTTGTTACTTGATCTGTCATAACAGATCATTTGCATCTCGATCGTGTTATTATCGATCTTTTTTAATATGTATATATATATATATTAAAAAAGACAGTGGACTGTTATTACCGATCGAATTTAAAGGGATAATAATACTGGGCTGTTCTTTCTTTCCTTTCAATTAGTTTACAAGTATTAAAATAGCATTACCTTAACAATCAATGGACTGTTCTTAATTATAATCCCTCACTTTAACGTTCAAATACACAACTCCATGACACCCATAAAGGGGAAATATTTAGAAAGACAATAAGAGAACAATTATATATTGAGTAACCATATGGGGAACAAGAGAATTTCAATGCATTTGGCTCTTCTTAATTAATGCGCGTGCGTGTGGACTTCTTGACGGATTCATTTCTAGAAAAGGTAATATGATAGCGATCGTGAAGGGATCAAGCTGAATTATACAAACTAAATTAATATGATAAATGTTCTCACGCATAGAAATTCATATTAGAATATGGTACATAAATACATAAATACATACATATATATATATATATATGTTCCATGAAATCATGAAATTATAATGTTATTGAAATCTATCGATGAATTGAATGATCAAATTAAACTTCTTATAGTACTATTGTGCCATGCACGTTGTTTATATATCTTCTTCCTCATGTCCTTTTTTTTTTTTAAATTATTCATCCTCGAATTTATAAAAAAACACGTGTCAAAACCAAAAGAAATTGATATAAAATCTGCGACGAAGCTAGTACTTCACCATAACATATCATTAAAAAAAAATTTGAAGATATTTTGTTTCAGCAACGAAGATTTTTTTGCTAGGGACGGAAAGC